GGAAAAGTGAGACCCTGATGTTATTGATCAAAAGATACATAAACAGAGCCAATAAACAAATGAAAGACTTGGAAAGCATTTGTCATGAAATGCTAGACAATGTTTATTATCTACAACATACAACAGTTTTACAAATTGACATGGAAAAGTTAACTCCATAGGAAAATGGGTGAAGGACAAACATGGACAATTCATGGAAGAGTTAATCCAAAAGGCCAATGAATAAATAAAAAGCTGTTCAGACCCAACAGCGGAGAAATAACAATGAGAGACCACTTCATACTCAGATTTCAAACTTGCATTTCTAGCAGATAGGCACAAGAAAAGAACTTTCTTTTGTACATTTTGAAACATTATGTTTTTTTGAAAAGCAAGTTTTATTAAAACTATATATCATATCACACACATATATATCATGTCTATATACATATTATATATATACACACACACACCATTGATCTAGAATTTCATTTTTATGTATTTATCTCACAGAGACACATCCCCAGAGAGAATAGGCATCTGAAAAATTTTTTTGCAGCATGTTCAGAGTTGCAAGAAAAGGTAACAAAGCCATCAATAGGCAAAGGGCTGAATAAATCAACTGAATAAATGGCCGAATATTAACTCTATAAAATGTAATGTACCATCAAAAATGAAACAGAACTGAACTGTTTATTTGAGGGTATCTCTGGAGTATTGTTAAATTTAAAAAAGCAAAATATAGGAAAGCATACAGAATACAATCCTAATTTTATAAGACAGTGATCAAAATTCCCTAATAGTGTACATGCATATGTATACTTGACACTGAGGAAAGCATATGCAGGGTTAGATATGAATCTGTTAGTAAGGGTGATCTGGGAGGAAAGCAGTTGGAGTGCAAGGTGACTCTGGTGGTGTAGAAAGAGAGGAACGAGTCTAATCCAGCCTTCACCAAAAAGCTAAAAAGTAAAAAATTTAAAAAACAAAACCAAAGGCAGGGGCCCTTGGAATTGGGCTTTCTTGCCCTGCAACCTAGCCAGCCCCACTCCCCTGTGCTTGACCCTCACGCCCTTGGCCATACTTTGCCCTGCACTGCATGTGGCTTTTCATGGCTCTCTCCATGACTCCTGAATGGGGAGCAGGTACTGAGGGCCCCAGAATCCAGTCACTGCTCTTCTTAGGCGTTTTGGCAAGCTGATGGAAAGAGGCTATGGGAATACTGATTCATGTGCTGTCTAATTTACATCCTCCTCAAACTCAGCCTAGACATCACCTCTTCAGAGAGGACTCCTCATAGTCCCGCCCCATTTCAATCCTCTCCCTGGTACTTCTGGTTGTAGCACTCATCTCAATTTGGCATTGTTTTATTTGTGTGTGTGTGCTTGAGTGTTTAATGTATATTTCCTTAATACTCTGCAAGTGCCTCAGGGGAGAGACTTTGTGTGTACAGCAGCCAGTGAGGCCCATAGCAGGACTCAGGATGCGTTGGGTGCTTTCAGTAATTTACTCATTAATGTTCTATTTTTCCTTGACTCACTCTTTCATTCATCCCTTTATTCATTTATTCCCTTATTCATTCCAGAAACATGTGATATTGGTCAATGGCTTTTCTTGGTCTGAGTCTTCCACTTTCTAGGTGGCTTTTTCAGGGGGAAATGGGGACGTGATGACAGAATTCTGGGAAGGCATCCACTGAGTGAGTTGGAGGCACTCCAGGCAAGGAGGGAACATTCCAGGAGGCTGGAGGATCTGGGCAAAAGATGCAAAGGATAGGGGAGCACAAAGGTGCACAGACTCCTTTCTATTCCCCATGATTCCCAGGATCTCCCATTGCCTGGCTTTGTTCAGATGCCCGCTCTGCCTGGATCTCTCCCTGTGCTGAAATCCCTCCCTTCTATAGGCAGCCCAGATGTCCTCGAAGTCTCTCTCACTCCTCCAGCTGCAAGGGCTGCTCCTGGCTGCAAACAAACTTCCCAAGCACACAATCTGGACCACCCTCTTGGGTGACCACTTCCTAGCTTGTGCTGAGGAGTGGCCCCTCTCTCCACTGTCCAGGCAGAGGCTTTAGCTACTCTTCCCTGTATCCTGAGGGCCCAGAAGCCGACAGCACACTGACCCTCAAGCTGTCTGGCCTGACAGTGAACAGTGCCTTGAGTCAGGGGGGTAGGGCAGTAGTTATTAACCCATTTTACAGATAGGGAAAAGGGAGCAGAAATGAGGGGGATAAATTACCTTTGATCCCAGGACAAAGTGGCAGAGTCCAGACTTGGTGCTGATTGTCTGGTACAGAGACAGAGCTAGTTCCAGAGCAGCCTGGTGGGAGGTGAGGGTAGGTGAGTGGGGTAGGAGCTGGGTCCTGGGAACCAGCAGGCCAGAGAGATTTGGAGTTTGGATGGCCAAGTTCAGGGAAAGCACAGCTGGGGTGGAGCCAAGGTATTTATTATGCTTGGTCTCAAGCTCCAAACAGAGCTGATGGATGGAGCTGCTCCAGTTCCTATAAACAGCTCGGGCCCTCATCCCTCCCCTCCATCCCTCCCTGTTCTCAGCAACAACTGTTTCCAGTGGGATACAGGGTGGGGGTGCGGGAGATGACCAGGGAGGGAAAGTTGAGAAGAGGGAAGGGAGGCCAGAAGGAGGGGAAGGATGAAGTTAAGACAGGATTCTGGAGGCCCTAGGAGAATGGGGGGTGGCCAGAGAGTTTTCTCTTTTTGCTTCCCCACTGGCTGCCGAGTCCCCCAGGCAGCCCACACCCTGCAAGCCCCTCTGTGTTCTCTCTATGTCTCCTGGGTCTGTCTGCGGTCTGGTCTTAATCCCAGGGTTTATTAAGTCCTGGAGGGTAGGGGCCATTTATTCAGGAAATCTTATCTGAGCTCCCTGCCTGGGCTGGCTCACACACGGGGGTCCGGTTGGACTTCCCTCCTGGAGCTCTTGGCTTGCTGTGGACTGAGCAGACACCCCAGTACAGTGGCTAGGGCAGCCCGGGGCTTGGGTGGCTCGGGGAGGGAAGTGTGGGCAGTCTCCCTGAGGAGGTGATCCATCCAAGCAAGGGAGCAAGGGTGGGAGAAAGAGTCAGCAGGTGGGTGAGACGTTCTGCCCTCTGTGGAGGGTCGGGGAGAGCCTGGTACGGGGAGGTCAGGAGGCAGTGCCACCTAAGGGAGAGGGAGGTGCCTGAGTTCAAATCTCAGCTCTGGACTCTCAGCTTCTCTAAAGTGAGTTGATCTCTTCTAGGTTTGTCAGAATTAACCGGACAAAGTACACAAATGCTCAGCACAGGAGGCCCCTCCGACAAGTTTAGTAATTGTCCCTCTGAGCACCGTGTGGGAGAGGCAGAGAGAAATGGGGCTGGAGGGCAGCAGGGACCTGTGAGCTGCCAGAAGGGGGCTGATCCTAGGTTCTGGTGGATGTGGGGCATGGGGCCTGGCTTAATGGGAGGCCAGCAGAGCTCACTGAACGAAGGAGCTGAGTGATAGCACCTCAGGGTGGTCTGCGACATGGGGTACACAAGAGTTTCCCCATCCCTGAACTTGCTGAAAGCCTGGAAGCCGGATGCGCTGATGACCTACTTGGCAGCTGTGTCCACGTTTGGCTGAAAACAGGAATTTCTGTCTCAGTGGGGGGTCTTGGCCAGGTGAGCAAACTCTCCTGTTTGCCAGGAAAAGGGGTCAGGGGCCTAGTGGGCTCCCAGCTGGCCCTGGGAGTCAGCTTGTGCTACCTCTAGGCCTTCACTGAGCACCTACTATGTGCCACAGGTTGAGATAACCCCTTCTCATCCCCTCAGCACAAACCCAGGAAATAGGTGTTTTAAAATGTTTCTTTGGAAAATGGGAGCTGGGAGTAGGAACTGGAAGGGGAGAGTTACAGGCTAGAGAAGCTGGCTGAAGAAATCTCCAGAAGGCAAGGCTGTGGCACCAGGGCCCAAGTGGCAGCTGGGCCTGAGGGGAGGGACTCAGGACACTTGGGGACAGTGGGGGGAGTAGGAGGATCACTGAACTGGACGTTAGGGAGAAGGAGGTTGGGGAAGAAGGCTGGCTTCTGCAGAGGTGGTGACTAGGGGTCAGCCTGCTGAAAAGGGGAGCTGGGGCGCTAGAGGACAAGCTCCTGGGGGCTGCAGAATGGGAGACGGGAGAATCAAGGGGATCACTCTCTGGCCTCCAGACCCTGCCAGGCCCTTGCCTCTGCCTCCCAGTGCTCATACTGTCCCAACCCTCCCCTACCCCGAGGAGGTGGCTCCTGCCCCTTCCCAACGTGCCAGGCCCATCTCTCCAACTCCCATCCTGGAACCAGTAATCTTTTTTCCAAGCTCCATCTGGATGTGCAACTTAAATTCTTGAATTCTCTGGAGCCTTTAGCCTTCAGGGTACAGGATTGGATCCTCACAACAGGTGAGGGTGGAGACATATGCGCCTCGTAGTTGGAGCAGTGGGGTGGCTACAGCTAGGACCAAGTCCTGGAGGTCATGATTTAGAAATGGATCAAGAAAGATGAAGATGTAGAGGGGTCAGAAAAGGAGTGGCTTGGGAGGGAGGAGACAACTTCATAGGTGAGGTCACAGGCAAGGAGTCCTGCTGCTCAGGGGTCAAGGAGATGAGGTCTGAAAAGCCCGATGAGTTTGGAAAAGGAGACAGCAGAGACCTTAGCAAGGGCAGCTTGGGAGCGGAGGGGAAGTTTGCTCGTGAAGAGCAGGACTGGGAAGGGGGGTAAAGGTCTTTTTGCTGTTTTTAAGATGGGTAAGACTTTAGCCCCCTGAGAAGGGGCTGAGAGGGGTGACCATGAGAAAGGGAGGGGATGTGTAGCTGCAGAAGGCAGGCAACGAAGAAAAGTCACCAGTCTCTCAGTGTTGGGCTGGGAAGCAGGGCTGTGCATGGCCACGATGGAGGCTGAGGGCCAAGGGCCAAGGTGGTGATGGCCTTGAGCCTCTGTCCTCCAGACTCTGGTCATGAGAAAGAGACCCTACAGGAGGTGGAAGAAGTCAGGGTTCAAGCAGACTCCCGATGAAGAAGAGGCTGGCAGACACACCGTTTTTCCAAAATTAGACTTTAATACATTCATGTGGGTTATACAAAGAGCTGGTCCGAAGACCTGCGAGGTGACAGCAGCATGTATAGTGTTTCATAGATCAAGTGCAGGGGCCAGCACTTGGGCTCTGGGCCTGAGGAAGACTGTTGTATGCAGTAGCACCTGTGATCAGCCAGGACTGAGCCACCCGGATGCCTTCACACCACCAGGGTCCAGGCGAGAGTTCTCGGCCTGGCCCTGACCATCAGCTCCATGAGCCCTTAATCCTCTCTGGGTCTCAGTTTTCTCATCTATAAAGTGGGGTGGAGAAAACTGCATTTTCATTTTCTTGCACTTTACCAAATGCCCATGGGCCAAGCATGGGCAAGATGCTGAGGACAATAACAGAGGGTCTTTGCCTGGTCCAGAGTTTCCTTTCTCCCCAGACAGCTCATGACCCCATGGTATGAGTGACAAGAGTTTATCTGAGTGGGTCTTTCTACCTATTTTCATAGGAGGCAAAAACTCCCTGCATGATGAGGAACAAAAAGAAAGTCTGGAGCAGTACTGCCTTGCCATGTGGCAGCTGAGAGAAGGCCTATATTCAATCTCATCCCAGTGAGGTTGAAATCTATTTTTCCCTCCACAGGCTCTGCCATTGAGTTGAGCAGCTATAAGCAGTTCCTATTCTTTCCTAAGCCTCAGTTTCCCTATTTGTGCAGTGGGGAGGTTGGACTTCATGGTCTCAAACTTCAGACTATGGTCAGTGGAGGAAGATGGAATGAGAGAATGCAGGAGGTAGAAGAGAAAAAGGAAAACACACACCAGTCCACGAAGGAAAGAATGAGGGAAATTGAGGCTGAGAAAGAGTAGAGGGCCTGCAACTGCCTGGAGAGGAGAAAGTGGGTGTTCATGGCACAGGAACTTCAGGCCCTGGCCAAGTGATGTGAGGCCACTTCCTGTCTACTTAACAGCTTGTGGCCCCAGCAGCAGCAAACTCAGACCCTGGAGACAGGAGGATGTGGGTCTGAATCTCAGCTATGGTATTTTAGCTGTGGGACCCTGGAGGGAAACTCCTGGTGCTTTGTTTTCCTCCTTTATAAAATAGGGTAAAATACCAATGTCCAAGCAGCCACAAGGCTTAGATTTGCATCTGTAGCTGCTAAGCTGGGTGCAAACTAGAACTAGATACCTATGGTTATAGCCCTTGGCTCAGCAGCAGGGCTGGATGGAGAAGGGAGCCTGGGCAGGGAGTGCGGTCCAGGCAGTACTGGGGTCAGTGTGTGCAACAGGAGAGTGCTAGGGAGGGAAAGGTCCTGTCCAGAGCAGGAAACAGAATGGTCCACCACTGGATGGGAGCCCAGGGTGATCACCTCTTAACCAGGTCCTGCTGGGGCTGCTGTAGCCTGCCAAATAGCACTGGATCCAGGACACACTCATGACGCTCTGGCTCTCTCTTCCGGTCACAAGCTCTTCATTTTCCAGAGAGGCTGAAAGTCATTATTAGAAGATGTGACAAAACAGTCTGCTTAAAAATGTCTCAGACAAATCTTCTTGGGCTTAGTCCTTCCTTTCCCTGGCACAGCCAGAGCAGGACTCTCCACACCAAATCTGTGGGGCTGCAAAGCAGTGGCGCCCCAGGTTTCTACCTCAACGCCATCACACTGTGGTCACTGCCCAGCACTGGGACAACCTCCCCTACCAGAGGGCAGGCATGTGTTTCATTTGGTAGTGTCCCCAAGAAGGGTGTGGACCCAAACAGATGCTCTGTGAAGCTCTGTTGATTTGCTGCCCCTGAGCTTACCCAACTTCCAGCTTCCACAGCTAGACCAGATGCACAGCCTGGGAAGTGGGCCACCTGCTGATGCAGCAGGATGCAGAGAAAGGAGCCCTGGGCTGGGATTCAGAATCCAGAGTTCTGGGACTCTGGCTCACTCTGTGGCCACAGGCCAGTTCCCACTCCTCTGTGCCTCCAGTTCCTGCACAGACCTGGAAGGATCTCCTGGCTTCCTTAGCCTTTGTACTGTTGGTTAAACTTCTGCCGGCGGATGCAACAATAGGTGGCCAGTGTGGCGAGGAGGATGGCCAAGGCTAGTGTGAAGGTGAGGATGATGATGAGGTTGATGTTCTTGAGCCCTCCTTCCTCACAGTCCTCGGGACGCACATGGCTCAGCGATACCTCAGCCTGGGAGCCGAAGCGGCAGATCAGGTCCTGGGTGGCATCCACATCCACACGGCCCTGGTGCAGTTGGGCTGCCAGCCAGCCATTGCCGCAGCAGCTGAGAGGATTCCCTTGCAAGTACAGGCGCCGAAGGCTGGTCTCCAGGCCACCCATGGCGCTGCCTGGTAGGAGGCTGAAGCTGTTGTTCCGCAAGTCCAGCACCTCCAGTGACACAGCTTGTGTCCAGGCAGGCAGGTGGCTGAGGCGGTTCTCGGCAAGATTGAGCCGCTTGAGGCAGCTGAAGCAGGGCAGGTCCACCTGCAGGACAGTCAGCCCATTGCCCTGCAGCTCAAGGACCTCCAAGGAGGCCTCCAGGCCTGCCAGGGCTCCTGTGGCCACCCTGAGACCAGGGTTGGTGGAGAGGTCCAGCTCAGTGAGCGGGGTGTGGAGGAAGGCCCCTGCCCCGAGCATCTCCATCTCGTTACCCGCCATGTTTAGAACACGGAGAGTAGGGATGCCAGAGAAAGCCACACAGCCTGGGAGGCTGGGCTCTGCTGGCCCCCCGCAGGGGCTGACTCTGTTTCCCTGCAGGTTGAGCCTCTGAAGGCTGGCCAGGTTGGCAAAGGTGTATGATGGCAGGTCCTGCAGGGTATTGTCCTGTAGGAGCAGCGTCCGTAGGGACCCCAGGGCTCTGGCACCCAGCTCTAGTGCCTCTAGTACATTGTGGCTTAAGTCCAGGAGCACCAGACAGGGCAGAGAGCCTATGGGCCGAGCCCCAAAAGCCCGCAGGCAGTTCCCGCTGAGGTTCAGGAACCGAAGGGAGGTCAAAGGCTCAAGAAAGGTGTCTGGAATGTGCTCAATCTCATTGTCACTCAAATCCAGGTTCAAAAGCTGGGAGAGGGCATGGGTGCTGGCATTCCAGCTGGGGCTGAAGAAGGGCAAGGCTGACCAGCCCTCAGAAGGCGAGGGGAGCGCATCACTGCCTTGCAGCAGCCCTGTGGGGAACCGGATGAGGTTATTGGACATGTTCAGGTAGATGAGTCTTGGGAGGGCAGCCAGGTCAGGGAAATGGAGCAGTTTATTTTCTCGCAGGTCAAGCCAAGCAAGCTGGTACTCGGCCTGAGGCTCTGGGGCTGTCTGAAAGGCCTCAATGCTGTTGCAGCTCAGGTCAAGCACCCGCAGTTGCTGGAGGCTGAAGTCGCATATACAGGTGAGGGAATTACGGGAGAGATTGAGATGGACCAGGTGGGGCAAGGCCTCAAAAGCACCATCTTCAATGTCCATCAGCACATTGCTGTGCAGGTCCAGCTGCTCCAGCGCAGGCAGGCCCCAGAAGGTCTGACGGCTCAGGCGTGTCAGGCTGTTCTCTGCCAGAGACAGTGTGCGCAGTCTGGGGGCTTCACCCAGCAGTCGCTCCACCAGGCCACTGTACAGGCTGTTCCCAGACAGGTCCAGGGAAATCACATGTGGCAGGGGACCCAGACCTCCGGCACTCAGCGTGGTGCCCACTGCCAGGTGGTTTCGAGACAGATTGAGGTGTTCCAGGTGGGGCAGGGTCTGGAAAACTCCTGGCTGCAGGAAGCTGATCTCATTGGTGCTCAGGTCCAGGCGACGCAGGGCAATGTAGAAGCCCAAGGGTGAGACCAGGACATTCCTCAGCTGGTTTCCAGATAGGTCGAGGGACTCGATGTCCAATGGGAGCCCTGAAGGGACCTGGAATAGGCTGAGACCCTGGCACAAGGCCTCCTTGTCCACCTGGGAAGGGTAGAAAGGGCATTAACGAGTGCAGTAGAGGCACAGCCAGACAGGCTATTCTAGAAGGACAATTAGCCCCCTCCAGGCTTGAGTGGTGCTTCTATGGACTCCCAGAATGCTAGACTCTCCTCCACCCAGCCTAATGTCTGATGACCCATCCTGCTCCCTAACCTTGTCCTTACCATCCGGTACAACACTGGAGAGAAGGGAGGGACTCAGTGAAGTTCTGATGGGTAGACCGATGGAGAACTAATAGACAGATATGAGGACAAACTAAGAAAAATCCTGTACTGATTTCCATCTCATTTCACAGGAAGCTAAGCCATGTGTCAATCAGGGTGACCCAGAGTCAGCGAGCAGCAGGGCCCAGTTCCCTATTCCGAGACCCTTCTTCTATGGCCCTGACAGTTAAATTTCCAGCATTAGATTGGAAGCCACATTGGGAAAAAAAGATTTCTAAAGGGAAACCTGCAGTCTCTATTGTCATCAGTTCTTATCTTGCTCAGGCTCTCATTCCATGTGACGGGCTCTGCAATGAGCTCCCCAGATGTGATCTCCTTTCTGCAGCTGTTACCTACCCCCACCTCATAAGTGGCTTCACTTCCCACAGCCTGGTCCAGAACCAGCCCCTGGAGGTAAAAGGAGGGAGGGGGAGCAGGGCAAAACATGGCCAGGGTCCCAGTCAACATTCTTTAGTGACAAGACTGATTTTGTTGTGTGACCTCCATCAAGTCATATTACCACTCTGGTTTCTTATCCCAAAAGTAACTCACCCTTGCTGAGCACCCACTCAGCATTTTATATTTTGCTGAGCTCTCTCAGGCCCTCAGTCTCATTGGATCCTCACAACAGCCCACCTTGTATATGAGGGTGATCTAATTTACAGAAATCCGGGCTCAGAGAGGGTAAGGATGACTTCAGGATCACCCAGCTGGGGAAGAAGGAGCTGGGATTTGAACCCAGGTCTCTTACTCATCAAAGATATCACTCTTGTCCTTCCACAGAAGGTACCTTATGGGGCCAGGATTTTTCCATGTAAATGTATGTCTCCCTTTGGTGTCTCCAGGCCTCGGAAACCTCTATATTTATCAGCTAAGGGCCTGACTTCCACAGCTACCCAGCTCAGGCCTGCTCTTGCCTGGGACCTTTCTGTCTGTCTTTACTCCTTCTGACCCACCCATCTGCAAAGCCAACTGGCAATTGCTCAAAAACTCCACTGTGCTTATCTTCCCCCAGGATAGAGTCCAGGACCCTCAGTAAGGGATCCAAGGCTGTTTGTGGCTCCTGACTCCTATCCTCTCCACTTGGCCCACATGAAGTGACCTCCTGACCACTACACACCACTGTGACAAGAGTCACAGACATCTGGATTGTTTTAAGGTTTAGTGTACAGGGCGGAGGCTTGGAGTCAATCACTTTTTTTGAGGGGAAATAAAAGGGATGAGTCATGTGATTAGAGTCAGAGACTGTCAGAGCAAAAAGAGTTGCAGCTCATCCAATTCCCAGATTGGGGAACTGAGACCTGAAGAGGTAGCAACCTGGATGAGGTCATAGGAAGCCCAAGGCTGAGCCAGCAAGGATGAAACACAAGCCTAGGGGTTCCTCATGGGGCCCAGCTCTGTCATTTCTCCCAAAAGCCTGGGCTGAGTGGGGGGCGGGGGGGAGCTGCCCAGTCTCAGGTTTCTGTGTGACTCTTCCTACTGCATGTTCACCATGACGGCCTTGTTATTCCTGGGAAACTGGCTTCACTGAAGCCTCAGGAGACCCAGAGATACTCCCACAGCTGACACTCACATAAATTAGAAACCTACCCTGGCCACCATGCCAGTATTTGCCCCTTCCTCCTTCATAACCTTTCTGCTCACTGGCATCACAGACACAGCCTCCTCAGAGCCAGCCTCAGCTGCCTAGACCATCCTGACTGAGGAAGAAATGACAAAAAGAAGAAATTCAGCTCTGCAGTGGGTTCCATGCTGAGTACACAGATCCCTCATCTCATTCAACCCTCCTATCCTCGTTCCCTTGTCCTCCCCAAGGAAACTGAGGTTGTGCAAGGTCAGAGAGCCATAGGCTTAAAACTACAACAGCAAGTTTCTTTTCCTATCAGTGCAAGTTGAGTTCTGACTCCTGAGCCCTCAGCTAGTCAGGCATGCAGCCTGATTCCTTCAACACAGGAAATCACACCAGGCACCATTTACAGGGCAGTGGAGTGGGGCACTGTACTGTGCTTCACATGTCACCCCACCTGCAAACCCACACCCATATCTCCTCTACACAGAGGAAGGTTCCCTAGGCACCAGCCTGACAGTGGGCCAGGGCACAAAACTGGCCCAGCAGGGAGTCTGATATTTGCTAGCTGCTCAGGTGCCAGGACCCATGCTAGAGAGGCTCCAGGGCTGCTGATGGGCAGGGCTGTCCTGGGATGCCCACTTTTACAGTTCAATGCAGGAGGGAGCCCGAAGGCCACAGAAGCTCCTAGAACTCCATTTCCAGCTGCCCCCTTAGCTCCCAGCCCCAAGTTCCTAGCAGTGAGTGACTGATGGGGCTGACCCAGGGCCCTGGCTGGGCTTTAAAGCTCATCCCTGCTTTCTCTGCAGCATCATCTTCTACCCAGCTCTCTCCTTAGGCAGGAAGGGGACTTGACACCAACTCCACTTACCATCTGGACATGGGATGTATACCAGGGTAGGAAGAGGCATCTGGCAGTGGGCAACATAAGGACAGTTGGGTGAGAATCCTGACTCTATCACTTCCTGCTCTGACTCTGTCCTGGAGTGGGGTGGTGGTGGTGGCAGTGGCAGATGTCCTCTCTACTCCTGCCTGCAATATCTTCCATGCTACTTCAGATTGCTTTGCTATCTATGATATTTTCTCAGGAACCAAGGCTGCCCTTGTTCTTCTCTACCTATTGGACCAAGGTCCCTCACTTCATAGAGCTTCTCACCATTCCCCAAGGTGTGTTGGTATTTGATGATGTCTGAGGCCTTCTCAGCCCATCATTCTGGGTTCTCAGAATCTCTGAAAGACTCAAAGGGGAAAGAAGAGTGGTGGCCACAGAAGACATCATAAGCCCAGGGGAAAGGCTGCCAGTCACCAGCCAGCACTCTGGCTTCCTGCAGCAGTTGCCTATTCTGTGTCCAAGTGGGGCTGCTAGAGGGTTGGTCCTTTCTCCAGCCCAGGCTCCAGCCTTGACCTATGCGGCTTCTCACCCTTACAGACATCTGGAAGGTAAATTAGCTCAGATCACGCACCAGTCACCCAGCGTGCTCGGTGTGCTCAGTGTTGAGGTAGAGGGGTGCTAGGGAGTGGCAGGAGCCCAGAAGAGGAAGTGGCCAGACAGTCAGCCTGGAAAAGGTCAAGGGAGGCTTCCTGGAGGAAGTTTCACTGACCTACCAGTGATGAGTGAGATGCACTGTAGAGGGTAGGAGTCCAGTTAGGGAAGAGGATTTGTCTCCGGGAGGGACAAGTACAGAGGAACCTCTCATTCCACATTTCCTATACATTCTAGATCTCTCAGCTGGGCCCACTCTTCTGCAGAGGCAGTTTAGGGGGATACAGCTCAATACTGGGGTCACTGTTCCTAACTAAATAATCTTGTACAAGTCATCTACTTCTCTAAGTCATCTACTTCTCATTTTCCTCCTCTGTAAAATGGGAATATTGAGGCTTACTTGGTAGGGCTGTTGGGTAAACAGGGTATTTAAACATTCTAGTAATTGCTCATGAAATGCAAGGTAAATCCCTTTCCTCTCTTGAATCTAACTTCTGGCTTCTGGGGCCAGGGCAGTAGGACACTGCAGGGGAAGGGTGGTGTGGCATAGCCTTTTCCCTGCCTTGGCAGAGCATCTTACCATCCTACAGGGCACCTTGTCTCGGTGTTGGGAGGTAGCCAGGCCTCGAGTCAGCACGGCCAGGAACAGCAGGATCTGGTGGCTCATGGCTCTGTGTAGGGGAGGGAGGGGAGGGAAACACCGTGAGAGCACTGGCCCCTTCCTGCTGCCAGTCCCACCTCTCCCACCCTGTCTCCCTGCCTTCGGGAGCCCCAGGCCACAGCTGGGCTGGAATACTGGGGGAGGGAGCAGGTGGGACATGGGGTTGCACAAAGGGCCTGGGAAGCCAGGCCAAGCTGGATCATTGCTCTGGGGAAGCAAGAGTTTTAGGGCAGTGGGTGGCTTGGTCAGGTGTGGATTTTCAGGCCTGCTAGGGAACAGCCTGGAGGAGAAGCGTAGGAGGCAGAAGGACCCGAGGGCTGCCCCGGGCCATGCTCATGGCTGGGGAGAGTGGGAGGGGAGCCTCTGACTCCACTTCCACCCACACCACAGCAGGTCCCCCGTCTCAGCCCCTTAGGCCCCAAATACAATTCCTCATTCTGCCCTCTCTCCACACCCCACCAGCCCTCCACCTCAACCCCTGCTCTCACCCTCCTCATTTTGTCCTTTTTCTTTTGATTTTCTGATTCTCCAGCCCTTGCCATTGTTCAAGGACTGGGCTCAGGGCCTTGACAGGAAGCCCCACCAGGGGACCAGCCGGGCCCCAGCACTGTTCTTCGGACTTCCCCCAGCGCAGGCTGCCAGGCCTGTACTTTCGCTGAGGCCACTGGTCGCATGGGGGCACTGGGACTTGCTTTGTGAGCAGCAAGGGAGGGGGCTGAGGGAACCACAGAGCCCTTGGCAGGACTGAATCCCAGGGCTCTCTCCTTGGGGACCGTCCTAAGCCAAGTGCTGGGGAAACACAAATCAACTCTTCAATTTTATTCACTTAATCAATCAATCCATCAATCAATCAGTCACAACTTCACTGAATGTTTTCTCACGTCTGGCTCTGTGCTAGGGACTTGAGACACAAAGAGTGATTATCATATGGACAGAAAGTGTTAACAATGAGGGACATATAATGCCCTCCAAGAACACTGGACTCAGAGTCACCCATATCTGACTGCTCCCTCTTATCTTTTCTACTTCCCTTCTGTGTGACCTTGTATAAGTCACCTCACCTTGTTTCCTTTTCTGAGGTTAATGACAGCCATACCAAGTTTCATTGAGGATTAAACGAGATCTATTCACTGCAAGCCCCACTTCCAGAGCCCAGGCACCCTTCTCAATACTTTACGACTAGGAATTCACTTAATTCTTATAATAACTCAACAACTTCTTGGTTCCCTTATTACCATTCTCATTTTGTAGAAGGGAAACTAAGTCTCAGAGAGGCTAACTATAAAGCCAGCTAAGTGGCAGGTCCAGGCAAGCCTGGCTCAAGAGTCTAGGTCCTTAAATTCCATGCTGTAAGGTCCCTAGGTCTCCCACAGTGAGGGCTCAATAATGAATGCTGAACTATGACTCTGAAGGAGGCTTGGGAGAAAAGGCTTTTGCAGGGCTTCTGAGGGCTGTGCCTTTAGCTATTGTCTAAAAGTGAACAGCAATGATTTTTAGATGATCGCTAGATGAAGATAGCTGCTCTGAGGTCCCTTCTTGCTGGAACATGCAAGGCCCTCTAGGGTTATCTTTCAACTTTCTTCCCTGGCTCCCTGAGGCCAACAGGCCCTGCCCCTCAGCAGTATTGCTTATATTCATGGGAGATTTTGTTCTGTTGTTTAAAAAACAGATGTCAACCATGTGTAGTGTTGCACGTCTGTAATCCCGGCAGTTGGGAGGCTGAGGCAGGAGGATCACTGTGTTTTGAGGCCAGCCTGGGCTACATAGTGAGTTCAACACCAGTCTGAACTACATAGAGAGACCCTGTGTCAATCCTTCACCCCAGAAAAAAAAAAGAAAGCAAGAAGATGTCACCACCTGTTTCACGTTAGCATACTCAGCATCAAATGAGAATCAACACCCACCCGCTGCCCTTGGGGAACATACCTTCTGGCCAGCTTTGTAGCCTCCCTTCTCACTAGGTCCTCTCACTCTAGCCACTAAGAACCTTTTTTCACTGTTTCAACCTTCACTTCCTCTCCCCTCCTCTTCTGCTGAATACCTCCGAGTCCCGCTGCTGTTAGCTTAGATATCACCTCCTCCACGAAGCCTTCTTTGGTTCTGTACTCTGAGCCCACACAAGCACCCAATGCTTTTCTACCCTCCCCTGCCCTGTAGGATCCTCCCCTAGAGCAGAGGGGGTACACTGTCCTCTGAGATCCATCTCATGGTACCCACCAGGCCAGGGTGACACAGGGAATGACATCAAGAGTCTCGGTGACATGGTGATACTGGCAGAGCAAGCCCCTTGACTCTCTCTTCACCTCCTGCCAAATTCCTTCCTCCCTTCAGTGGGCTGTGACTGCTCTCCTAGAAGAAAAGACCTTAGACCTGCACACCTCCTTCCTCTATCACTGCCAGACAGGTGCCACCAGGATCCTGGGCCCTGACCACAGCAAGGGCCAACCCAGTTGTTTCCTTGCTTCCACTCTGCCCCTTAGAACCTGTTCTATACATCACAGCCAGAGTGAGGTTTCAAAATCATGTACCCAATCACCAATGTCTACTTTGAACATCTCCAGAAATGTCCAGACATTGCATGTCTCTCTGGCTCCATTTACCATCTTCTCTTCCCTTCCCTTCCCAGTTCTAGTTTTCTCCCAGTTCCCCAAACAGAGCAGGTTCATCCCTCCCTCCCAGCCTTTGCCCTGTTCCTTCTGCCTGGAATGTTCTCCCAGTCCCTCATGTGTTTTATTGTTTTTCTTACATTTACCATTTTCTGATATTTTATTTCTTATTCTGTGGGAACAGGGCCTTACTAAGTAGGTGTTCAGAAAATATCTCATGAACAAATGGCAGAGTTGGGGACACGTGCTCAACAGCAGTGGACTGAGTGGTGACAAGAGATGAGGACAAGGAAGGCCTGGGTTTACTTTTGAGTCTCCAGGTGGAGATGCCCGGCAGGACCCTTACTGTCCCTCCTCTGCCAAATCCCCAAGGTGAACATCTGCACATCCAGAAGGGGCAGTCTCTGCAGCACATGGAACAGTGACAGACAGGGACCCCTCAGCTGTGTGCACCCTCTGAAGTGCCCAGGACACAGTGTGCTCCCTTTAAGGGCTGCTCTCTGACAAGGGAGGGCTGGGGTCCCTCAGACCCAGGCTCACATCCAAACTCCACTGCTCACTAGCCCTGCTCTGGGGCAAGTCCCTTCACACACACCCTACCCCCATGCCTCTGTCTCATCTGTAGGGCTGCCGTCCCAGCTAGTGTGACGATCACGTGGAGGATAGCTGTGGAGGAGCCTAGGACACTGAGCATCCTTCGAGGTTAGTACAGAGACACACAGGGCTGAGCAAAGGTGAGATCCCAGGTGATACATGCTGAGCAGGGAGGTCCCAGGTCTTCTGACACGTGGTGGTAGGCAAGAGGAGGCAGGAGACATAGCAGGACTCTGACTTGGAGAAGTGCCAAAGAATATCTGTGCATGTGCATGTGCGTGTGGGTGTGTGTGCATGTGAGAGAGAAGGAGAGGGAGAGGGAGGGGGAAATGCTCACAACCATCATAAGCCCGTCCCTACTATATAAGGATGTTAGACTCTCTTCTAAACCTTTGATTTATGTCATCTCATTTAATTCCCACAACCACCCAATGAGGCAATTACTGTAATTCCCATTTTACAGAGGAGAAAACTGAGATTCAGAAACATGAAGTGACTCAGCCTCTAAGTGTTTTGGAGCTGGGACTTATACAGGTCTACAAGCCCCGAGTGCTGTCTTCTTTGGCATATGCTGAGCCAGCTGCTCCCTACAGAAGTACTCCCATTTTTGCCCACGAGAAAAATGAAGCTCAGAGAGGCGACTTACCCCAAAATCACACAGGCAGCAAATAGCAGAGTCAGGATCAGAATCAGCCCCTCTGCCTCCTAAGAAACTGTTTTCGTTACACCAGGCTGAGATCTCCCCCCATAATCCGCCTGAGCCCCGGAGCACACAGGCACCCGGAGCAAAGCAGCTCACAGTCTAGGTTTTGAAGGAGTCCCTCTCGGGCTCTCGGCCTCCATTTGATTTACTGGCAGACTGGGGTCCTGGGAGAGCTACTGCGGAGTTTTACAGCGGCGGGTAGTGAATCACTAAGGGCAAGCCCCTTTCTGGAGACACGTGCATCCCACGGGGGAATTAGACCTTAACCCAAAGGAATGTGGCTGTGACGGCTCAGTTTCAGCCAGCTAGACGTGGGGGTTGGGGGTCCGCACATCTCACCCTCCATGAAAAAGGCTGGCGTCAAGCCCCTGGGAGAGCGGGGAGGCCCCCTCCAGGGAAACGGGCAGACTACCTCAGGGCAGAGAGATGGGAAGCCCACGTTGAGGCTGGAGCAGAGGGCGAAGAGGACTGGAGGGGACCGGAATCCAAGTCCTGAGCTACCCTTAACTATCTGTGTTCCAGGGCAATCCTGGGCGTTGGACGACTTTTCCCACCTGTCAAATGGGAATGCCGGCCTCACCCCTTCTTGGGAAAGATGGAATGACACGGGTACCTGGCGATTTCTCAGGGACCGACCGACGGTTAAGCCCCGCTCCATGCCCAAAGCGAGGCGCTTGGAAGGAGAGTTAGGGCGTCCTAACGGACCATCCCAGCCCGGCTGGGCTCCCGAAGGCGCGGGACCCAGGGTTCCCCGAGGCGCCAGCTGGCCTTCTCCCCGGGCGGCTCTTACCTGGCTCAGCGAAGCCGCCGCTCCTCTCCCGAGCAGCCTCGGCACATTTTGCGCAAACCTGACCCCAGTCCCACCCGTGCCAGCCTGGGTCACGGCCTGCGGAGGATCGGCCGATGCACCACCCCACCGGAGCCGGCCGCGCGGGGGCGGCGCCGCCGAGTTTAAATACCTCTCGGGCCCGCCCGCCGCCGCCCGCCGCCGCAGCGCCCCTAGGGTCCTGGACTGTGGGGTCCTAGCGCCCGCTCCTGGGCTGGAGGCTGACTCGGTTTCTCTGCAACTGGTAGTGCGGGAGTGGAGTGAAGCATCTTCCCTACGCTGGAACACCGGCTGAGTAGGAGCAAGGGCGAAGGGGCCAAACTGAAAGGGCCGGGAAGAGAAGAGAGCAAAGGCTGCGCTGTGGGAGGGAGGCCCCGGGGTAGGGGCACGTGCAGCCTGGGGCCCCGTGAGGGAAGGGGTGGCGCTCGGAGCGCAGGTCCCGAGAGGAAATCCTGCCTGCCCCTGTTTCCCTGCCGCCTGCGCCGTCGCATTTAGACGGGGAGAGCCAGGAGAGGTGACTGGCGGCCACTGAACGCGGAAGGAAATGACCCTTCGTTGGCCCTGGGGCGGCCACGGAGGGGGTTCCCCGCTCAGTAGCCATTCCTCCCCTGCATCTCCCGGACTATCGAAGTCCTTAGTTGCTCAAGATGTAGAATCTGAGACTATGGGTGTGGGCAGTAAATACAAGTAAAAACCAATTGGTCAGATCCCCATTTAATGTTGGGAATCTTGGGCTCAGGAAGGTTAAATGGCACAGCCCAAGTCGCATCGCTTGTAAGAGGCAGGCATTTGAGGCCACAACGCTAAATCCAGCCAAGTTTGGGCACCCTCTTGACTGGGTTTTTAAAGTGCTTTCCAAAAATGGGGTGGCTGTATTGTCTTTTATATCAGGATTTGGAGCAGATCTTTCCAAAGCCACTCCCTATTTTATTTATTTAGTTTTAAATTAGGAAGATATTTATTGATAGGAAAGCTTCTGAGGGGCAGGAGGGGTTCGGAGTGGGTAGCCCAAGGACCCCACTTTACAGAGACTTTTATAGGGTGAAACCCACGTGGCTGCAACGTGGGCCACAGCCATGAACATCCAATAAAGTTACAAATATAGTCACTTAGGTAATGGTGTCCAATTGGGAAGCAAGTCAGGTAGCAAGCGCACAAGGATTTTCAGTAAGGGTGGGGGTCAGGGATATTTCCTGGAGAGGCTGGGTTAAGACTTTGACCCCCCCCCCCACCAGGTGGTTGATACCTATTTAGAATATCAGTCACTGCTGTTTATCCTCAGGGGAAGCACAAGGGTGCCACTCCCTATTTTAGAAGCCTTCCCTCCACAAAGTGCTCGTACCCTGTTCTGCTGGGTGTGGCCTTAAGGTGGGGGTAACTGGAAGAGGGATGTCTCCCTTACTCTCTAGGCCTTGGTTCCAAGGGTAGACTCCTCTTTCAATATGTTGTTTTTCCCTGATGTCAACAGTGTTGAGTGACCCAGTGCTGGGACCCCCGTCAACAGCTATGAAAGTGGCCACCCAGTGCCTTGTGGCAAACCAGGATAAAACTGGGCTTAAAGCTGGGCTCCCTGAAGTGTAGACAGGTAGTGCCCTTTGTTCCTGCCATCCAGACCACTCTGGGAATGGACCTGCGTAGATGCAATCAACCCAGAGAGGACACACCTAACATCAAGTGGCCCTGGGGTGTGACCTAGCCTCACAGGTCAGGGAAGCCTTCCTGAGCTGCCCTGGGGGGATGAGTAGGAGGTTGTGGGTAAGGAGCCCATCAAAGCCTGGGACAGGTATCTATCCTTCCCTTTCCCTCCAACCATGCCCTCAGATCTGTGTTTGCAAGAGCCTTAGCTGGTCCATATTGCCCCTAATCAGAACCTAGTGCTCTATCTGGACAAATGGAACCCTTAATTTCCTCTCTGTAAAGTGGGAAAGACAGTAGCTACTGCTTGGGGTTGGTGCCAGAACTAGGATATTGGGCCCAGGCTGGTGGCCTGTCCCCGGGGGTTGTGGGTAACTGCTATGATGGCTTTTTTGCCATCATCAGATTGGGGAAATATTTCAGCTATACCCTGATGGCTTCCTTTTCCAGATTATTTGCCAAGGGCACAAATGTCTATGAGAGTGTAGTGTGAACACGGTATGGTTAAATTAGACAGAGACTGTTCCAAGCTTTTCTGTCTGGTTTGCTACCCCAACCAGGTTGGACTGCCTGAGCACTGCCTCACTCTTCCTGGAGCTGCCACCAAGCAGAAACTACTGGGCTGTGCCTGAGCAGGGGGAGGGCCGGGCTGGGGCTATGGCGGGCTGGGGGTGGGCAGCCCCCCCTCCAGTGCAGGGGTTGCGGTTGTGGTTAGTTGGTTCATGGGGTTCCACCTTACTTAGTGCCTGGATGGGGCTCCCCAAGAGTTGAAGACATCTGGGTGATCAAGCGTGCCCACCCGCTACAGATGTCTCTTGGGATCTCTGGTTAAAAGCCAGAAACTTCTCGGCACCCTTCCTAAATCTCGTCCCTTCCTCAGCAGGTCACTTGATCTTTCTGACCTTTGTTTGCTGCTCTGCAAAGTGAGACTAATTATAATGCTAATGAGGACTCACTGAGGGGTCACATGTAACCCATGTAAAGCACCTGTCAGGGGCCTGGCCCATGCTACTTGCTCAGCAAACATGAGCTCTTCCCCGATGGGCCCTAGGGAGCTGGTGAATAATGTCCAGGACCTACTTTTGTGGACTTCCCTGAGCAGAGAGAATGAGTGAGTCTAGAGGCCTTAAAGGCCAAGTCCAGGAGGCTGAGCTTGAGTTAGTAGCAGGAGAGTGGGGGTGAACTGAGCAGGTTAGAGTTGCCTGGCAGCGGTGGAGAAGGTGGCTTTTTGTTAAAGGCCACTGAGGCCACCTTTGTCTCTAGTGCTGCTCAGTACCTGTTTGCACACTCCAGAAACAGACGGACAGCTCAGACCTCACAGAGTTGGCATTTCTGTGGAAATGCTTCATTCCCCCATGCATGTGTCAGTGAAGATAGGAGGCATGTCTTTGCCTGTGTCTTAGCACTGTCATTCTGAGATGATGCCTCTCGGGCTCAGGGTTCCCTGGGGGAGGGTTTTGCAACCTCAGGGTCCTATGGAGGAGTTAGTTGCCCAGAAAGGCAGTGATGTACACATCCTGTGTGAATTTGGACAAATTACTAAGCTAGGCTTTGCTGTCCCTGTCTAAATGTAGAACAAGAGTAGGAAGGACTATGGGATCTTGGACCCCCAATCTAGTTTACTTTTTGCTGAATATTCACCATGGGCCATTTCTTCCCCTTGTGTCAAATCAGAGCAGGGGTAGCCATAGGCAGTCTTCCAAGTAGGTGTCTTTATTCTCAATTACTGACTAGGCAACTGAGGCTCAGAGAGGCTGTGTAACCGGCCCATTAAGCAGCTTTCAATTGAGTCCAGGTATTCAGCCTCCCAGCCCAGATCTCAGTGCAAGATGTGGGTGTCCCTGTTCCCTGCCCCTTCCCAGCACCCCTGTGGGCCCCTGGGAGTTCCCCACCAGCCCCTATTGGGACCCCACCTACTGGGGCAGAACTTGGGCTCCCCAGTCCTCTCCCTGTCCACCCTCCCTTGTACCCTAAGGCAAATGGGCTCAGACCATACCAGCTAAGGACCACTTTCTGGAGGGACAATAAGAGGACAACAGGGAGTGGTGAGCTGAGAGCTTGCTGGGTGCTTGGGAGAGAGGCATGTGCGGGTGAAGGCAGATGGTGTGCCCCCTGCTCCGAGGTCTGTGTAGTGGGAATGAGGAGGACTTGTAAGCCCAGGCCTGGTGCCAGGGGCTTTTGCGGAGTTGTCTTCTCCCCACAGCTTCCCAGGAGGCAAAGACACCACTGACCCCATTTGCAGAGGAGGGGCTGTGGCTCAGAGGGCACACAGGACACGGGGTAAGGTGCAGCAGGGGCTCCCATCCCAATCCTCAGCCTCCACAGCCCCCATGTGTGGCTGAGACTTTCGTACCTGGGATTTAGTTCTCAGTGGGGCATGGGTCACCCCCGCCCTGTGGCACTCAGATACTTACCCAGGC